GAAACAATTAGTGACCCACCTGTGCTTTCCCTGATGAAGCAATAGCCATTGCTTGACTAACAGTTCATCCCTTTGTTCTCCCCTCCTGGCTTCCTTGCAGTCCCACATAATCCAGACCTCTGTAATCTGGAGAAAGAACCCTTAAAGCAGATAGTTTCAATACTGGATTTTCATGTAGTCCTTCCCCTCTGAGTATTAATTTTAGTAAGTAAAATTAATTTTATAAATACAATTGAATAATTAAGCACCAATATACACATAATTATTGTAATTAAATAAAAAATATGTTATATATGCATAATTTGAATACATTTGTATATATGTATAATTTGAATAATAATTATTCAAATGCAAGATTATGTAATTATGGCATTACACTAAAGTAATTATGCATATATTATTTCATTTAATTATTAAGTTATATTTACAAAATTTACCTTTTTTCCCCCACTCACAGCCATTTACAATTAGGCTTTTCCCCTTTTTCAGCTGTTAAGTACTATTAATTTCTTGATTGTCTTGAATAAATTTCTAAGTATGGATATAAATTACCTATTTTATTTGGTGAGACCTTGAATTTAATTTTTCTTTAAAAAGCATAATGTATATTTTGTCTGGTGATAGACTTTTTGATCACTGTTTTTTTTAATTCCCTCTTTGAATCTCAAAATGTTGCTATGCTTTTTCCTGATAGTTATGACAAAATGTTTAAAGCTAGCTTTTTTGCCTTTTTCTATTTAGTTTCAGTCCAGGGATATTTAGGAATGCCTTTGTGACATGTAACCAGGATTTAGGTATTAATGATTGTCCCATTGGCCATCTCAGGAGGGTCTTGAAGCAAATCCTCTGTTTTGCCTAGAAAGAAGTCGCTTCTCTGTGAACAAATACTAGTACTTAACAGTTTACATTTTCCAAAGGCTTCCACTGACTACTCACAGTTCTTGTGTGTTTTCAACTCCGGTCTCTTTGGGCCCAGTGTTATTCTTAATTATCATGGGAAAACCCAGATATTTCTCATGGATCCCTTCATTAAACCATGGATATCTTAGTAGTAGAAAGTTTTCCTTTGGTTGGATTCCATTTTTTTTATAACATTAAAGTTTTCATTATCCTTTCCTTTCCCTCTTCCTTCCTCCCTCCCTTCCTCCCTCTCTCACTTGATTCCCTTTTGTGGTAGTACTACAAAGATTTTTCTTGATGTTATGTATCTCAGGTTGTTTCAAAAGGAATTAGACAGTAATGGGTCTAAGTATGTCACTTTTTCCTCTAAATTATGGAAAGATATTTCAAGTTTTTTTCCTTCCAAATGTCACTTCTGCATTCAACTTCCTCTATGTGGATCACATTGTGTTTTCATAATCTTCACTCCCTTGTAATATCTTATCACACTATATTACCTGCATCTTTGCATCCAGGCTTCTCATTGTGACTTCTTCCTGAGTTTTATTAAACATACTTAAGAAGATTATAAAACTATCTTCTGGTTCCTATAAGAAATAATTTTCAGAGTTTTGATCTTCTCTGAATACTCAGACTGATATTCTCTTTAGCCCTTGCTATGACATATTTTTCGCTTGGTCTTATGGAGGTGTCCCTCCTCTACTTTTCATTTTACTTATCCCCAAACTAGGAGAAATCTATAAAAACCTGATATTTTTAAATATGAGGTTTGTATTTACAGCTGTTAAAACCTTTTTAAGTTATTAAAAATTACAATGCTAACATGGACAGTTATCAGGAAGCTTAACCATAAAAACAAACCAACAAAAACACTCCTGGATTCCAGTCATATCACTACTCTTCCCTCCCACTTTAATCCCACATCCCTACAGCACTGTTTTCTACACATTTTACCATTTGGGTATTGCCATCTCTAAATAAATATGAAGAGATAAATTGAATGCAGAATTAATTACTCTGGATGGTTAAAGAAAATCATATCCCAAGGTAAAGGATACACCACACTTTTTCATTTTATGAAAACCAAAGTCAACAGATGAGATTATATTCTCTCTATTTTTTTTTCTTTTAAGTTTCTTTGTGGCTGTGTGTTTCAGGATGTGACATACGGGTACACTTTATTGCTTCTCTTAATCCAGCTTCATCAATGCTATGTTTTGTGGAAATTTGTATAGGTTGCTGTTTCATTAACCTTCTTTTATTTTTAGTTTTTAAGGTCATGTGATTTTTTTATGTTTTCAGTATTTTCTTAAATATTTATTTTAAACATCAAATAAGCTGTAAAAGTGTTACTAATTGGAGATATTGTTAATCCATTTTTTAATTGACAATCTGTTTATTGAGGAAAAAGGTATAGAAGACTAAGGAAACCTAGGAAATTTTTGAATGCTGATGTTCCTAACCTCTTTATACGTGTGTGTGTGTGTGTGTGGGTGTGTATAAATACATATTAATAGATAGATATTATTATTTTAGATAAGCCACTAAACTCTGTCTCAATTTTACACAGGGGAAATCTATAAGAGTTAGAATGACTTTGTACATGTTTATTTTCATAGCATTGTAAAACCAAGTCAATGTACTCATAATTGAGATTTTCTGTATTATAATGAGTTCACAAAGAATATAGTGCTGTGTTAAAATTTGTAGACGAATCCAATTTGAGTTCTTGTTTCTATGTGCATTGATTTTTTAGTTTTGATTTTTAACGAACTCCAGTTTATAAGTATTGATACTTCTATTCTATTTTTGGCAAAGTCCTTTTTGCTTATAGAAAAATTTGCAGTCAGCAGCATTGATTGAAAACAGTGTGTTTCTGGTGAAGCATTTTTCTACCACAGGTGGCTGGCACTGAAGGATCTTTTTCAATCCATAGTGCCTTAGGTTAGATACAATTTTCTAGACTTCAAAGAGAATAGAAGAACCCAAACTGTGTGATTATGAAGTATATTCAGAGGAAAAGAAGTTTTACAAAGCCTGTGACTATCCTCTTTACCTTGGCCATATTGTGAAGTACGAATGGGAAATATTTGGGAACAACTCACTGTCCATCTTGGATATCTTCTTGACTTCTTTCCATCATTCTAAAACTTTTTAATCAAAGAAAGTTACAAACTCATATATTTTAGCTTTGAAGAAATGGAATTTTTCTAATCCAATTCAGCATTTTGAACATAATCATTTTACAGAGTATCTTATTTAAAAATCACAATACTTTCTGAAAAGTGGATTTTACTATATTTGTATAGATAAGTAAGCCTGAAATAGGGTACATAATTTATTCTACATCTGACACCTAATTAGTGGCAGAGCTACAATTCTGTCTTGTGTTCATAAGCATCATGCCGAATGTGTCAGTTTGAATTTGGTCTTCACGGGAGATAGAAACCTGAGTACACTTGCATTACTCAGCTGGGCTGTATTTATTGCACATGACAAGCAGCGACATGCTGATGCAGAGGATTAAGGACATTCTCAAGACTCTAGCATCTTCAAGCCTCCCTTTCATTCCTAGTCTATGATTTTCTTTCTTGGGTATGATGGCTCTTCTGCTTCTGTTCATGTCAAGCATGCCTTCCTAGCAGGAGCAGCAAGAGGATGAACAAAGGAGAAAAAAGGGTCTCTTATCCAAATTTAATCTATTTGTTAACCAGAAAAATAATAACTTGCCTAGAAGACATTCACAATATACTTCCATTTTTATCTCATTTACAGAATCTATTATATAGTGTTTCCAAGATTTAAGGAAGTTCAATTAGTTAATTTTAAATCAGATTTTCTGAGATATAGTTTAGATGCACATTTTATGTATACAGATCTATGAATTTTGATAAATACTATGTTTATAATAATCACTGCTCCAAGAGAGATAGAACACTCTATCTTGAAGAAGCAACCTTAACTGATGATATTTCGCCATCTTGAAGAAAATTCAGGTTCTGTTAGGTAGATGGAGTCAGCACTTTCCACATGGAGGTTAAATACTGAGTATTTAAATAATGATTTGGAAAAGAAGAATTATAAAGCATTAAATATCCATATGTTAGAAAAGGCTTCAGTTATAGTTGACTGATCTAGAAAAGTGAACTCAGACAAATCTCCTAGACCTATCTATGTCTCAGTTTTCTAATATTTAAAAGAAAAAAGGTTTTAACAGGTCTTATGTGTCCAAAATCCAAATCAAATGAGATAATTTGTGTGATAGCACATTGAGGCCTTTAAAGCCTTATTCAAATATATAGAATTGTCTGCAACTTTCCTGATCAGAGGAATTTCCTTTTGAAAATGATGATGAGGTTTCAACTGATTGACCTGAAATATTACAGTTGTAAAATTTAAAAATGCTTATAAAATATACAGATTCTTAAATTTATTAATAATCCATAAGTCAAGGCCATAAGCAACTCTAAATAGAGGCAATTTTACTTTTGATGCTTGTCAGATCCTTTCAAAGTATGTCTCTTTCAATTGGATAGGAATAGCACTAAATATATAATTTCTTGAAACTTTCAGAATATATATATGATTAAAAAGTGCTGGTATAATTTCCTAGTTATTGTATGATATTTTAAAAACGAATACATGACAGTATATCCTTCATGTGAAATATAAATTTTATTTTTAGAAACTACAAATTTTACAAAACCAAATAATATTAACTTTTGGAATGTTTAGGCAAATAATTTTTTAAAATTTGTTCTCTATTTTGAGAAGAATAGATATTCTTCTTGATATTCACTCTATGGAATCAGTCACAAAAGGGGACTCTGTAGCAGCAGAACACAACTGCTTGTCATACCATATTTATGAAGAGATGCTATTGACTGTATTGTTTCTCAGAATTTTGTCAGAGCATACTCTAAATTGAAACATCTTACCAAAACATCCTATAAACACTTATAGTAATTGGTGCCAGCCAATACCAATCTTTATTGAAAATAAGTTTTTGTGGTTATCTCAGCACTCATTTCATTTTTTATTCATTAAAACTGATTATTGTTATTTTCTATTAAAGTCTTTGTCATCTGTTCATAATTCAGGTTGGACTCAGCACTGGCTTTGTTTGTCCTTGGGGAGGCTGCCAAATTAAACATGGCCTGCTTGAGAGCTTTAATGGAAATAGTGAAAGATTTTCTTTCAAGCATTATGTCTCTTCATAGTCAGGTAACAACATTACTAATTTAAATGTGAAAAGACCCTGAATAGAAGCATATTTTATTTTTTGCCACTATTTAAATTATATATCATACTAGGGCACCTAGTGTTCATAACTTTGTAATAATAATTATATTTTAAAGTAAATATGCATATAACATTTACTATTTTTCATAAACTTTTCCATTGTCATTACATGTTATTAAGATTTGTATTTTAGTGGAAATGAAATAAGTTTTTTAACCCACTCTCTATTATTGAACATTAAGTTATTTTCTAACTGTTCATAATTAATTACAAGAAACGTTGTATTGGCAATCTCAAACATATTATTTGTATTTCTACTTCTTTGGAATAAATTACTAAAAATAAATTTTGCATGAAAGATCTATAAGCTGTATTTAAGGGTCTTAAATTCCTCTCCAAAAGTTGTAATTTTTTTATTCCTATGAAAAATACATGAAACTATAACACACTAAAAATATTATTGCAGAAAGTAGTATTGCATTGGATTAATTTATGTTCTATTGCTTCCTAAAGAAACTAAAAAGTTGTTCTTTATATATTTATATGCTATTTACAGTTTTTATATTTTGAACTACTGTTTATGCAATATATCTGTGGAAAATTGCTTTTTTAATGAGTTCATTTAGAAATATTTATTTTGATCTTTTAATAATTCCATGAAATTTGAAGACTTTTTTATGGTTCTTAATTATGACAGAATGTCCTCTGATTTTCCTAATACCTGTTTTCTTACTTCAGAAAGAAAACTGCAAGGTTGATGACCTTTCGTGGACTTGGATTATCATCTATACATATACAACAATTGTTGCAGAAATCTGCTTGTATGCAGCAACTTCTGATTTGCGAAAAACTGCTCTTGTTGGTTTCTGTGACTGTAATAGTTCACGAAAGAATACTGTATTCATGGAAAAATCAGAAAAAGAGCCAGAATTACAGGAAACAAATATTTTAAGTCTTTTTGAATACTTTTCTTCAAAAATATCAGATGATTGTAAGTAAACAATTTTCATGTTATATTTTAAATGTCTATTTCTACGTATAGTAATATGCTCTTTACAAAACGTTAACATTAAGAAATGAGAAATAACTTTAAATTTAGTGTGACTTCCTGGGAAGAATAGTTCATGAAATGGAATTTTTTATCAATAATTTTAAAATGGATATGTAAAAGATGGCGGCGAAGGGAGTGCATCACCCCAGTGCGCCGAATCACTGAGCCAGTGAAAGAAGATATGAAACGGCTGAAGGATATCTTGTTGGGAATTTCCAGTGAAATTGAGGTGCTACAGAATCTAATAGACAGGTTTCCATCGTGCGAGGTTCGGCAGTGGGAGCTCCATTTCTCCGCACGGAGGGTCGCATAGCCTGAT